AAAAAAAAAAAAAAAAGACAAAAAAAACATGGCTAGAGTGACCCCATCTTAAAGTGAGTAGCTAGGCACTCACAAGACAGTTATAATATTAATACTTATGGTCTAAAAATAGCTGTAAGTATTATAATTACAAAATATTCACAACTATAATCCTAGCCCTTTGGGAGGCTGAGGTAGGTGGATCACTTGAGGCCAGAAGTTCAAGACCAGCCTGGCCCATATGGCAAAACCCCATCTCTACTAAAATATTAATATTTTTAAAAGCTAGGCTGGGTATGGTGGCCCATGTCTATAATCCCCCAGCACTTTGTAAGGCCAAGGCAGGAGGATCATGAGTTCAGGAGTTCAAAACCAGCCTGGCCAACGTGAAACTCCATCTCAACTAAAAATACAAAAATTAGCTGGGCATGGTGGCACACAGCTGTAGTGCAAGCTACCTAGGAGGTTGAGGCCGTAGAATCACTGGAACCCAGGAGGTGGAGGTTGTGGTGAGCCGTGATCATGCCACTGCACTCCACCCTGGGCAACAGAGCAAGACTTCCGTCTCAAAATAAATAAATAAAGGCTGTGTGTAGTGGCACATGCCTGTAGTCCCATCTACTCAGGAGGCCAAGACATGAGAATTGCTTGAACCCGGGAGGTGGAGGTTTGTGGTGAGCTGAGATGGTGCTACTATACTCCAGCCTGAACGACCACAAGATTCTGCCTCAAAAAAAAAAAAAAAAAAATTATGCTCACGCAGGACATCTCCCGCCAAGCCCACAGAATGTCCAGATGTCCTGAATGCAGCCCACTTCACCCAAAGATACCATTAATGAGTAGGCTTAGTTTGAAGGATTCATGGTCATTATAACCACCAATAGCCTCGACCTTTAGTGAGCATATCGGCACATTCCAAGTTGAATCATAGCTCCTTATAGTTTTTTGCTAAGTAGGGACACTGCCCAAGGACAGTGTGTTCCTCCTGCTTCCTCAGGACTCACTACTTTATAACAGAGTAGTTCCAATAAACGTGCTTCCTCCACTGTGCTCTGTGACTCCCCTCCAATTCTTCCCTGTGCTAGACCCAAGGGCTGGCTCTTGGAGTCTCTTTTCCAGCAACACTATAGTAATGAAGAACAAAATACTATAAACCAGTTCAATGACACTTATCACATATTCCTTTTTACTATTGCTACCTTGTATATGTTTTCCACCTTAAGAAATTGCCTTTTGAGAACAAGCCAATTTTGGTTTGTTTTTGCATCTTCTACATAGTCTGAAACAAGGCCTGCAATATGATATGCTCTTGAATATTTTAATTTATTTTTTATTTTATTTTTTTGAGACAGTGAACTCTGTCACCCAGACTGGAGTGCAATGGCGTGATCTCAGCTCACTGCAACCACCACTTCCGGAGTTCAAGTGATTCTCCTGCCTCAGCCTCCCAGGTAGCTGAGATTACAGGCATGTGCCACGCTATTTTTTTGTGTTTTTAATAGAGACGGGGTTTCACCATGTTGTCCAGGCTGGTCTCGAACTCCTGACCTCGTGATCCACCTACCTCAGCCTCCCGAAGTGCTTGCATTACAGGCATGAGCCATTGCACCTGGCCTCAAATATTTTTAAACAAGTGAATAGAGGCAGTAAGTCTTAAACTGACTGGAATTGCAAAAATATTTTATCTTTCAATCTTCTCTTTGAAATGGATATTGGATATTATATACCTTTCCACAATTTTTTAGAGACAGAGTCCCACTCTGTCACCCATGCTGAAGTGCAGTGGCATGATCTCAGCTCACCGCATCCTCCATCTTCTGGGTTCAAGTGATTCTCCTGCCCCAGCGTCCTGAGTAGCTGGGATTATAGGCAGCCACCACCATGTCCGGCTAATTTTTCGTATTTTTAATAGAGACAGGGTTTCGCCATGTTGACCAGCCTGGTCTCAAACTGATCGCAGATGATCCACCTGCCTCAGCCTCCCAAAGTGCTGGGATTACAGGCTTGAGCCACCCTGCCTGGCCTCCTTTCCACAGTTCTTTGAGAAATGTATTTTTCTCCTTTAACGTATAAATGTACTAAATACCATCCAGAGATTTCCTAATGTTGAACCATTCCGCAAAATAGGAATAAGCTCTTTTGGCCTGGAACAAGTCTTTCTGCATTCTGTAGGAACACCCTCTCCCCTCAGCTGAAAGGCAAAAAAGGATCTGCCACCTCCTTCCCCACACTGCCCCAGCATATGGTGACATTCCTTACCAAAGGAAATGGTTCTTATTCTAGCTGTTGCCTTTATTTGAGTAAAAATCAGATGAAATTGTATTATTTTTTGAAGGATTGTTATCAGCTCTTTTCTTTCATTTTTTTGTGACTAAGAGTTCGTTTAATCACTTTGCTGCTTGCTCTTTCTCTGGTTCACGATTAATCCCCTCCGTACTTCACTGTTGCACTTTCCTTCCCCTCTCCAAGCCCCCTCTTCTAAACTAAACATAAAGAGGAATCCTGTTTTTGCATGGTCAAGCTACACTCGTACTTTAGAGTTTAATTTCTTGCCTTTGCCCTTTCTTGCCCTTTTGTGCTTTTGACAGAATACTTCAAAGCAGCATATGTGAATCTTCATTTCACTTACAGGACCTGAGTAACTTAGAAAGGGTTTCCAGAGACTGTTCAATGCTTGTTAGAGCTTAGCTTTTCAAGCATAGGCAAATCTCACTGTCCTTTATAAATTGTGACAAAGTCAGTGCTGATAATTGCAGAGTCAGTCAAAAAGATAAAATGGAAAGGGATGAGATAATTCAAGGATTACCAGTGCTACAAGTTTAAACATAGGACTCCAAGCAAAAATATCCTAATAGGTCCCCCTGAAACCCTTCCTCTTTGGCTAGTTCTGAATCACCGTATCTCCAAAAACATGGTTTCTTTGGTGAGCATTCCTGTAATTCATGAAAATCTGTAGTATTTATGTCTCAGATATTAAAAATGGTGCAAATAACTTCTTATTTCTCGGTTCAGTAATTTAAGTCGTACATATTGAGACTGGGCGCAGCGGCTCATGCCTGTAATCCCAGCACTTTGGGAGACCAAGTGGGGTGGATCTCTTGAGGTCAGGAGTTCAAGACCAGCCTGACCAACATGGCAAATCTTCCTCTACTAAAAACACAAAAATAGCTGGGCATGGTGGCATGTGCCTGTGGTCTCAGCTACTCATGAGAGTGAGGCAGGAGAATCACTTGAACCCAAGAGGTGGAGGTTGCAGTGAGCCAAGATCATGCCACTGCACTCCAGCCTGAGCAACAACGTGGGATTCAGTCTCAAAAAGAAGTTGTACATACTGAGAACCATGCATAGCATGTAAGAACAGAAAGTGTTAAGAGCTTAATGTGTGTACAGGACTTCTCTGTGGATTACTTCTGAGGCCCAAGTAATTTAACTAAATTGTGTAAATTCTCCCAGCTAATGTGTGATACATTTAGAACTATAATACCCTGACTTCCATCCCAGCACTGTTTCCAAATATCACAATGGCTCCCAGTCTACTATCGACATGAGCTTAAGTGGCATCTTCACAGCCCATCCTTAGAGTATTGCAAATCGGGAACTCTGAATTGGGGGGCTGGCCTCCGAGTATACAGGCAATAACGGAGAGAAGTAATAGGGAGGGAGAAGGAATCTTGTGGTTCACATGGGTAGACATTAGACAGGTTTGTTGTTTTTGTTTTGGTTTGGTTTTGGTCATCCCATATGTGAGTTCCCGTTGTGTGAGAAATGCCTCACCTTATTAAGCAGAACCTGCTTCCCACTATAGAAGTTGAAACTGCCAAGCAATCACTTTCCAGCCTC